TTGGTATAAAATGATACCAGCCGGAACTACGAATTACATGTGCAAACAATGTTGAGTTCATAAAATTAGGCTTGGATGCCTAATAAAAAAGCTGTACGTTCTTGAAAATTTGTTACGATGTGTGCGTGAGATATCGATATGGTAGTAAATATGAACACATCACTACACACTACTACATCAATATCGCACGCATACATACTCACAAATCGTCGGTAAAACAATTTTTGGAGTTTGATCTCGGGTTTTTAGGATCCCCTTAATACAAGAGGAAAACCGAAAAATAATATCTAATAGATTTTAGATGAATAGTTCAATTTATTGGAAGAGGAATACTCTTTCTGTAAGTTTTCGCTTAGACTATGGGATTAGAGGAAATTTTACTGTATAACTAGAATATTTTTTTTTGTGTTTTTAGAACTTTTTTTTCATATTTCTGATTATTTAAACAATATTTACTTTAAAAAAAACAATTTTTTTAAAGAAAATTTCATTTCTTTAATGAGTTAGAAAAAACCTTATATATGTATACATGTCTCTTATTTTTTTTATCTGTACCGTGTCTGTTATTTCTTGTCTATATTTTAATGTATCTAAATCTTATTTAAATATGTTAAATATTATTACACCGTGGGTAGGGTGTAAAGGGGAGAATCGTGGTGATACACCCAAAAAAAATATTCTAGTTTTAAAGTGAAATTTCCTCTAATCCTATATTGTAAGCGAAAAATTTTATAAAAAGAGTATTCCTCTTTCAATAAAGTAAACTGTTCACCTAAAATCTATTAGATATTATAAATGATTTTTCGGTTTTCCTCTTGTATTAAGGGAGGCGTCTGATTTAGGACGCTGAAAAATAGGTGATTTATGCGAATTTTTTTAACAAAGAAAATAAATTCGATTTTTCCATAACTGTATGGATACTTGTACCATATGTACGGATACTTTACTGGATACTTATATTATACAAAAAAAAAATTTTAATTTAAAAAATTGAAGATAATAACATCATTGGCAAATAAGTGATTAACACGTCTCGCTATACTGGAGTTACAAATTGATATGCGAAATAGAAAAAAAACGTATCGACTTCATTCAAAGTTCTTTATTTAAATTATTATCAACCATCCTAAATGAACTAAGAACATGTTTAAACAAGTTAATTTAAACAATTTTTATTACACAAAGAAAGTAAAATTTTTTTTTTCAAAAGTATCATTTTTTCTTTAAAGTCCTAAAAGTTTTACAATCGTACACTTTTTAAACATGTTCTTAGTTCATCGACTATACAATTATATGCAAATTAAAAATATTTTTAATTTTTTTGTTTCGGACAGAAATTACCGGCTCTATTTTGCCTGCCATTTTGTAACTCCAGTAGCGAGGCGTTTTAATCACTTATTTACCATGACGTTATTATTTTACATTTTTTTAATTAAAAATTTTTATTGTATAATATAAGTATCCAGTAAGAAAGATCGACTTTACTTTTCTTTGTTAAAAAAATTTGCGAAAATCACCTATTTTTCAGAGTCCTAAACCAGATGCTCCCCTATAAGAGGAATATGTATATTTCAAGCGGAATGCCCTCTTATGTGCGATATGATTAACACGAAAAGCACTGTGTATCGCTGCGTTCTGCCGTGACGATTGACTAAAGTGTTGTGCTGCATTTGTGAAAACAGATGCAGTAAGGCTGCGTTCCGTTATTCATTGCAAATACTGAAAACTACAGTATAAATAATGTGAATTATAAATATAGTATTTACAGTACAAGACTTGTATTGTAAATGCAAGTCGAAATTATTCCAACTATTACAATATTGTCCACAGAATATTTTCCTCTTAATTTCAGAGGATTCTTTTTGAGGCCATATACAAGAATAAAATCCTTTAAGATTTAGCGGATTCCACTAACATTAAAATTTTTTTTTTTTGGGGTGTAGGTTGTTGGAATGATTCACACAGTCGAACTGTTTCACTGAACAACTTTATTTAAGATCTAATCACACAACTTATGCACCCGCGTAATACGCGCACCGATAGCGTAACGTTCTAAGTAAAAATGTAATTATGAACTCCGCAGTGGTCCGCTGGACGACGGGTTTTATCCCGTCTCAAGTGAGCCACTGCACTGCTCAGCAGTTGCAATTATTGCTTAATTGCAACGGCTGCAGATTTTTGGAGAACGCACGCATTGAGACTGCCAAAGTCCTGCGTCGGCAGTCCTCAATTATTCTGGGTCGTTGTTATAAGATTAGATTACAACAGCGACCTGCTTATCTCTAAGTATTACATGTAAGTAGCGCACAGCGAGACTTACAGCAATATTTACATATGGTAAATTGAAGAGATTAAATACTTAATTGTATTTTCTTGTTATTTAACAGATCTTTGGATTTTCTAATCGCAATAATGACTGATCTGATTAAAGGGATATTAAACTCGAGATCAAACTCCAAAATGTCGCTGTTTTACGACGATTTGTGAGTATATTGCGTACGATATTGATGTAATAGTGATGTGTCATGTTTACTACCACATCAATATATCCACGCATACATACATAGTGCGGTCCATTATAAGTTCCCGGACTGATTTTTTTGCAGCCTTCCCATTAACGTCATTTATCGAACGACTGTTGAACTACGTAGTGTGAACCCTTACGAAGCCGTGTTGAATGGCATCATTTTAGCCCCGTTATTGAAGAGTGCGGACGTCTGATAACCTGGTGTTATGTATGTGTGTCAGACTTAGGAGATGGACGAGAAGGAGGAACAGTGAGTAGCAATTAAATTTTGCTGCAAAGCTGATCTTTATATTATTATGTAGATTTTCAGCGACAAAGACATTTGAATTGATTCAGAAGGCACGTACAAAATTTCATTGCTACTATCTAAATTTTTTGGAACAAATCTCACTCCAAAAGATTGAAAATACTGCCATTCTATGGCTACTTGAATGGCAGTATTTTCCGGGAACTTATGGACGCACTGTGTATACATAAATTTGTCGGTTATCAATATATTTTTATTAGGCTTCTATACTTAATTATAACGACTCACATATATTAATTTCTTTATTGTACATCTGACCCTACCTTTATTTCAAACATATAACCTGTCTAACTTTTCCACGAAATAAACGTGGTAAATTAACGTTGGTAAATTAACAGCATTAATCGCCATGTTGAGATTAAAATGGATAACAAAACCTGTAATTATTTCATTTTTTCCCGCACAAAATACACCAGGGCCATATACATTAGCATGTGTGTTTTAATCATGGAAAAGGAAATTTTATTCGATGCGATTAATATGAAGTAATTAGTAACCAACAAAAATGATATTTTTGTCGGGAAAACAGACGACTTTAGCAACTTACAAGATTAATTGATAGCTTGAGATAGAATTCTATATAATAAGTTTTTATTTTTCTTTATCTTCTGAATGTATCTTCTGAATGGAGATATTAAAAAATTTTAAAATTTGAACTATCAAAAAACTCCGCACATATTTTACGAAAATTGTTTTCTAATGTTTGTTCATATTTTTTAATTCATAATTCTTGTAATTTTTATGGAACGTTAATCAAAAGTCCCAAAGTTTAAACAAATACTACTGCAAAATCATTTTCCGTAAAGTATATTATATGCAACATCCTCTACTATAATATTATAATTATAATCATAAGCTGCATTAGTAGATCAGATATCTTATGATATATGATTTAAGATAAAAAGAAAAGAAAAACAGAATTCTTCACTTTTGTTTACCTGTATCTTGGATGGCTTATGGCATATACATATGGATCCAAGCAAGCCACAAATTTGCATGTGCATGCCGGTATCATTGTGACGCTGGGAGTTAATAATGCCTTATTTCCAAAAGCACCAATCATCGCGAGAACGCCATATGGAGTCCACGACAGAACAAAGAGAAAGCAGATTGTTATCGCAGCCTACAAAAAAGATGACACATATAATACATTTTTTCAATGTATGTGATTTAATAAATATAGTGAATATATGTAGTGTTGTGTGAAATATTTACTATTGAAATCGAGTCTTGTCAAATTTCATACTGTCATATTCTTTATTTTGCTCAAATTACTACTTCAGAAAATTCAGTTTTCCTATTGCTTTACCCCTGTTTTTTGCTGCTTTACTACTTTTTATATCTCCTATATGAATATTAAAATGAGAAAGCAAATAAAAGGTACAAAAGCGTTACATTTTTATATCATTAAAATGAGTAAACGTGACAATATAGTGTATTATCCTTGATTGATTGTACAACTTAAAATACTTCAATTTAAATTGTTCTCATTTAAAAAACTATTGCTTGAATGCAAGAGAATTATTCTCAAGTACTTTTACTTATCAAGTCAAGATAAAAATAAGTGATAGTTGTTGGTAATATTTTTCAATACAAAAAACAAAAGAAATGCTATCACTTGCAAACAATTGAATATTTCATATTTAAACGTATCTTTACACTGAACTAAAAAATATTGTAATAAAAAGATTCTTATATATTGTAAGGACAATGCTCTAAGTGAGTAGGCTGTATAAACAATAAGTAATAGACAGGGATGATACGAGAATAATGGAAATCAAGAATTCAGCTGCAAACCAATTCATGGGTTCCCGATCAGCTTTATAAGAATTCCCGAGTCAATTCGATTACAACTGGCGATTTCTGATAATTACTGTAGATTGTGAAATATAGTAGACTTGAAGAATCAAATATTGAATTCACGCTTGGTGGAAGAATCTTCCAACGAAGAAGGGTTCGGTAACATTGCAGTAATTAGCGTCACGCGCTAATAAAAGTTAAGTAATATTCCTATGCATTATTATAAATATGTTTTACATGTATAATGTTGCTTACGAAATTTCTGAAATAATGAGAGACACACGGTCTAAAAGCGGTTTACACAATTCTTCAATCGAAATTATTGAAAAGTATGTTCGTGTGCTTCTAATATTGATAAACGCATGCTCGAAGGATGTGTGTATACGAAACACGACTGATGTATACGAAAGAGCATGAGCTCTTCTTCTTCTTTCTTGCGCTACGAGAGTGAAAAGTCATATGTTTGTACAGAACATATCTCTGAAAATAAGTTTGTTTTTGCATGTCAAATTAGTAACCCAATAAGCAAAGCAATATTTTTTAAACATTTTGAATAACATTTCTTGTAATGAAAAAAAATATTTAAAAATATATTAAAATTAATTGGCGAGATCCCTTTTTTCATTAAAAATATGTTTATTTTAACATTAAAAAGAATATTCTTTAAATGTTATAGAAACATTTTTTTAAGATTTGAAAAAAATGTTTATTTAACATTAAAGGAACGTACGTTATTTTAAGATTTGCAGAAAATGATTTATAAACATTAGAAAAACGTTTACTTAAAAATTTTCTTGCTTAATATATTAATGATATATGAATTATAAATTATTTACATATACAATATATCTCAATGCATATTTTAATGGATTCTATGTGGATTTTCACATGGATTTGACATGGATTTCCATATGGATTTCCATATGGATTCCATGTAGATTCCATGTGGACTCCATGTACACTGAGACTCGAAAAACAGTAATAATCTCTGAATTTTCGCTCATTCTCGATTTTTAGTCTAAATTTGTAGATGCTTGCTGAAAAAATAGTAACGTTTGCTGAAAAATACAGTAATATT